AAAGCATTAACTGCTTATTCGCTGTAAAACATGATCCAAGATATTTTAGTTACAGTTCTTTGGTTGCTACTGACAACCCTATTCGTTAGTGTTATAAATTATGAGTTGAGATAGGAGACTTAAATAAATTATTAATGATATTTTTGAAAATTAATGGATGAGTAAACGTAAATTAAACTCATTATGTCTGCACCTTTCAATAAAGTCTTCGCGAGCCCCAAGCCTCATGGCTAGATAGCACCACAGCTGGGCAACGAGCTGAAACCTTGATATATCATTGTTTTCGAGTAAAATGTCTCTATTACAAACGGAGGCTAGTTAAGCAAAAAAATATAGCAAATCTTTTAACCACAAATCGCAAATTTTGTATAGCGATAGTGAAGGGATTTTTCTCTAAACATTAACGAATTGTTCTTGTTCTACGTTCAATTTTTTTCATCTGTTTTTAACTATTGAATTTAGTGATAATTACATAGAAACTCGTGCTTGGAAAACTACTTATTTTACGTTATCAGAAATTCTTAATAACGTATGCTTCGATAATATCATAATGTATTGCAAGAAATTACTTCAATAATTATAATTGTAAACTGCTTAGATTCTGTAATTCTATAATCGACGAATATGTTAAAGTTATCACTTACCGGATCGGGCCAACCATGGATAGATTTTAATTATCGAATAGCAATTACTAGTACAGATCATTTACGTTTGTTTAAGGGCAAATATCTGTATGGGTTATAACGTGTGGTTACTACAAGCTCCTTAGCCCTTCAATTCATGGCTAAAGGCTAGAATCTTCTATATAAAACAAATTAATGTTCAAAATTTAGTACGGTACCGTACTTGGTAAAGAACAATAAACAAAAGTATACAGATCTGACAGTGATCTTATGATTATTTTATATGCACACGAAATTGGCCTAAACAATTGAAATTAAATTCATTTGCAGTAAAGGACTAAAAGCGAAGTCTTTATAGCTTTTAGTATGAAGCTACTGTTACTTTACTATAGAAAATACATAGAAAGTGAAACGTATTTTTAAGTTTTACCCTGCCAAGTCACGATGTTGCCATCTTTTCTTCTTTACTATTTTACAAGGTTTTATGTGTATGTATTACTATAGAAGTGATCTAGGAGCAATCACCTAATCTAAAGAAAGAGCCTTTGATAGTCTATTGAGATTATAAATGATTTTGAATCTATAGCTGTAATGTAACTAGTATTTTGATTGTAGACTGTTAGCCATGTTTAGTATAATGTACGGTAGATATTTATCCTAAGAGATATTTGGTAGCTATAACTATAGACTGTAGTGGTATAGACTCTATGCTAGAGTACAGAACTACAGATGACTATATACAGTAAAGTGATAAATTATTAAGTTACTAATAAGGCTATAGGTAAAAATAGAACTGTAAATCATATATTAGGATATGGTTAATTCATTGTACTTTGGCTGGTGTGAATAATGTCTACGTAAATACTGTAGTCGTATCCATATTGGATTAATGATGGTCCGCAGTAGAATAGTCTTACTAAGAATAATTTAACTATGTATAAAATAAGGTAAAAGGTTGCTATGCGGATTGTAGCTGCGAATGCTACGGAAAGTATAAAAGCATGCAACTTTAGATTACTCTGTTAGTTCGTTCTAGAAGTCTTTAGTAGTAGCATTCGGCTAAAGTGGAGCTGTGTGTAGTTAATCTTTGTATAAGATTCAATAAAGCCCTTATTTTTCTAAAATTTGGAAATTTCGTGATTGGTATATATCACAATAGCATAGCCTTTTTATTAAAGTAAGGGGTTTTATAGCTTGATGGCAAGGTACTGTAGTGTATGGTACTATCGTATGGTTGTTAACGTCATTTTACAAAATGCCAAGTGATTTTGTAAATGACAAATTTTTGAATAAATACGGTAACATGGTTACTGTACAACTTCGTACTAAAACAGCAACTGTCAATACAAAGTCAGAAAAGTTATAGCCGTCGCATAAAATATTTTGATAAGCGATTATGCAATTTTTAGAAAATAAAAGATGATGCAATTAGAAAATTTAGAGAGAAAGACGGGAGAAGATTCCTTGAAGACCTCGTTAAATTTTAAAGACCTTCGGGTCGAACTGTAGTAAGTGAAAGCGTTGTTCTTTTTGTAATGTTGTTTGGTGGTTGACAGTTTTAAGTCTGTCGTCTTTTTCTTATTTTTTCTTTATGATACTTATAATTACGTATCTGAAAGATTATTTAGTCTACAGCATATCTCTCTCACGTTTAAAATAAATTCTTATTAGGTTGTTTTCCCAGTTTTTATTTCGTGTCTAAGTTTCATTAAGTCGACCAGTGCAATGATTTCAGCTAATTGCAGTAGTTATGTGTTATGAAAATACAGTGATAGTACAGTATATAATGTAGAACTGTATATCTTAGTAAAGTAAGTGTTGATTAATTATGGCTAGAATGATGAAGCGGTTCACATGCACTATGGGCTATACAAGGCCGCAGCTGATTGCCATATTAAGTGCTATTATAAAGCAATGTCATAATGCGATTGATGACTTCTATGACCAGGAATATTCGATTGCAATTAATATGAGCTGATGGAATTGTTATCGTAAAGGCTAAGTCATGTATTTGATTTGTCTTAGCCTCTTTCGGCGGCTCCTATAAGGGGAAGAAATTTGGAATTCTTCTCCGACAAACAGATACAATAAACATTAATCTGAAATTCAATAAAATAGTGCTGACTATATGTATCACATTAAAGATTTACTCTATTAAACACCTCAAATTTTAAGTTATCAGATTGTGAGCCTAGCATTAAGAACCCATACACTACACTCTGGTACGCGATAGAATGTCTCTTTTGCTGCATATGGTATAGCTTTTCCTTGAAGGCTTGTAAAATTTCTAACACAAGTCAAAGTATTAAATATACAGCGGTTAATCTCCATTATACCTCATTATCTTGTAGTGCATTGATAGGATACTATAATGCATAGTTAGGCTTAGTTTAGTTAATTAGCTGATAAACTGATTAGCGTCACGACATACTTAACTGTACCAAGACCAATTGAAATAGATTGTTTGCTTTACTCGTTACATTCACATCAAATATCGTTTACTTAATCCTTGAAAACAAGTATCTTTTGGTATTTTAATATTGTTTCGACCCAAATATCTTTATCGTAGCGTAAAATTGTGCGCAAAGATTTAAAAATATCGTATAGTAATCATAAATAAATATAAGTATCATACAGGATTCACAAATATACCGTTAGTGTTATAGTGCACTGTGTTGATGTTACATTTGATATTTTAATCATCGCTCGCAATTAACTACCAGAATATTTAGTGATCATTAACTAGCTACTTCAGTAATCTCATTCATTACTTTGGCATAAATACTTTGGAATATCTATCCTTTAAACGTAGATCTAGGGATGAAAGGTGATAGATTACTTGCAATTAGAATGATCAATTCTTTATTAGTCTACTTTTCAGAAGTAGCACTTGTATATAAGAACTCATGCAAAAATATACTGAACTACTCACATAAGCCTAAAACTAGTTAGAAGCTCACAAATGATGAAGCTGTAGTCAAAATGATAACATTGATCGAATTAATAGCATGCACATAAATAGAAAGAACTTTGCCTTGATTACAGTTAAAGTGAGAGTGAATAAGTAGAAATGCTCTCATCCTGATTGATTGCATAGTACAGCTATCTTACTAGACCATTACTATTGAAGCAATTGTTTGTCTACTTGCTTCTAGCATATCGCAATTTGTGTTGATATGTATGGCCAGGCGATATCTTGTCTTATTGTTATAAATAGCACAAATAAGGAACAAAGTTACATTCCATATACGAATACTCCGAATTCAAACTATCTTATTGATGATTATTAGGCAAAATGTTAGGGAACTGGATACCAGGGTAGATATAATATCTATCAATTGAATATACATCTTGTCTTGGGAGTAAGCATATTCTATCGGATTGTAATGGATTGTACAACTAAGGGAAAAAACTTACATTTCATACATAAATACTCTGAATTTAAACTATCTTGCTTATGATTATTAGGCAAGATATTATCGTAAAGAAATGAATTTCAACGAAATTACAAAGTCTATTACTTGTATGGACGAGTTGCTTGAGAAGTAAGCGTATCTTTTGATTACAAGAAATTGTACTATGTATAACCTAGGAACAAAAATATATTCCATTGCCACGGACTACTCTCCTGACAAAGGATGAAGAGAAGTATTGTACTCTTCTAAGTTGCTTTTACCAACTACTACGCGTATTTTAGTTTCGGCCTAGAACCTACCCCTTTAGACTGCAGTCACACAGGCAAACTTCACCATGACGAGATACTTCTACTTTATTCCGACTAATACGACCAACGCTATTTACTCATGAGAACTTTAAAACTAGTTACTAACGAACAACATTCGTAATTCCAAGTCAATAATAAAAGTTTGGTCAACCTAACCTACATAGGCAGAAGTCTACTACAACACAAATACTTGATCTATACCACGACTCATGATATATTTGCAACTTGACATCCTTATATAAGTATTACGAATTTAAACTTAAACGGCTGGAGACTTCGTGAAATCAGTACGATAAATTACTTTATAATTTTACATCGACAACTTGCACTACTATACTTATCGTATTATTAATAATGATCATAGGAATAAGTTCAAAGAAAAATCGTAACAGGCAATGTCATAGCCTGAACGTAGCCTTAAGTATGTTCTTAGCTTCGTAAAGATCAAGCAACTAGGTAATATATTAACGAAAGCATTAAATTCAATAAGCTATTCTATACTTTTGACGACATATTTCTTCCGATATTAATGTTAGTCCTTGTGTTATACGAGTATCTACGGAATATATCCTTTATTTTCGTATGGAGTTCCATTTTACTATTGTTAGCCGATAAATCGCTTAGATCTTCAGAGGATTGCATACTGTTTCGTATCAACTACTATGCCCCTCGAAAAGCACCACCAATTCTATTAATCTTATTGATAAGGGATTGACTCGAAAGTGTATAACATACAAGCATGGATTCACCGCAGAATTGATTGGTAAAGCAAATATAATGGTAAATTGCAAAGCTATCATATCAACCGAATGCGATGTAGATAAAACATGCATAAATACAATGTAATAAGGAATCCAACTGATTAAATCGGTGACTAATATTAAGAATAGACGTATGGCTATACGCTTATCTTTACTGATACTTTTACTTTTGCGTACATTACGACTTGATTGACGAATAGAACTTAGCATTTTACCGTATAGAATACATGTAATAATCCAACAGATAATTGTAATAAGTGTAAATGCTGTAATCCACCATTTAAAGTATGGATTAGAAACATTACTAGCCATACATATACTACTGTATCCATGTAATCGATTATCTCCATCAGCGCCAACGCTATACATAACTGGAATACCAACAAAGATAATTGAAAATAGCCAACAACATGCAACCAATAAGAACGCCGATTTAACTGTTAATTTTCGTTCAGAGAAAGGATAAACGATGCAAACATATCGATCGATACTAATAATTAGCATCATAAAGACCGACATCAGGCTTGCTGCACAACATATAAAACAAGCAAGTAAACATGGTATACTACGTAGCCAGTGTTCAGATTCGACAGCGAAATTATAATGACTATAGAAACGATCACCAATAGCAATAATTAACAAATAGTTAGCAACAATAAAGTCAGAAATAGCTAAATTTGCGATTAGAAATATTGGAACAGGATTCTTCTTTGTTTTTATACTTTTAATATGTAAAGTAAAGACGGCAATGTTACCAATAAAAGCGATACAACCAACTAACCAAATATACATTTGCAGTGTTACATGAGATAATAATCCATCACATGTCGATAGGCCATCGTATTTCCGCAATGGATAACAAGTCTGGATAGATGCTGGTACCATACAACACAAGTATAAACGTGTTGAGCGTCTGTAAAGTAGTAGTATATTTCGTAATTAGTTAGATTTAATGCTAATATTAGATTCAAAATTATCTATACTTTAATATCTTGATTCGTTACTTATAATAAAGCAAATAAGTAAATCTGTGAGAGACACAGTATCAGGGACTAGTTAACAATAAATTTCTCTTTACTGTAAATCCCTTTTGGTATATGAAGATTTTGTTAAGCCAAAAGGATTTGTGTAAAATAGGGCTGGTGCTAAAGTAAGGGTATACAATGTGGGTGAGATTTTGTAGAGTAGCTACTGATAGAATGTAACTCCTTCATTGATTAAATACATACAGCCGAATTTAAATAATTCGTTAACAGATCAGTTTTTAAACTTTAACTTTGAAATCAGATTATTTGCTAATGAAAATTATTTTACTTTGATTGACATCAACCAGCTCGCTAGGATAAGTGTTGCTACGAAAGTTTGATGTAAGTACTATTTAGCTCTTTAGATTGTGGATTACTATCTTAATAATCCATTGAATTTTTATTAAGTTTATTTTCCTTATTATAGTATGATACCATACTATAAGCTAATCATCAATGCGAAACGGCTATTTTCCATAAGATATATATTCATTGCCATAGATAATCCAATAAGGTAGAAACAGATTACGGCAAGAGCATTTACACAGTGAAACAAAAATCTTATTTTGTGTATAATATCAAAAAATATAAACTCTTATAAATCATATTGGCACTTACATATGTTCAATTTTAGGTGTATAAAAGAATGATTCCGTTTGAACCTCAACTAGTGAATTTCCTTCCATGAATCTACAAATAGATTTACCAGATAAGATAAAGAATTTACAATTTAAAAAAAAGTTTATATATTGTTATAAGGTATCAGATAGTATTATTTATAAAGAACATTATCAACACTAGTACGATACTTGTTATAATAATAATTAATTTTGATGAAATATTACGATGCTTTTGTTACTTTAGAGTATGTTACTTACAAGTAAGTAAGCTTCTTTAAACCCTTGAAACAGGTAGTTTTTAAAATCTTAATATTGTTCCAACTAAAGTCCCTTTAAATATAATATCATCAAGATATCGATTCGATATATTATTTAGTAAATAATGTAAATGACAGAATTAGTTATTATCATGATTACGAATAAAATATCATTCCACTTCATTAGATATAGATTATTCTTAATCATGAATGTAAATTACACGTTTAGCGCGAATTATATTAACTTTTTACTCACTTATGCGATGATTTATCATCAGTTTAATGCCTTTTGAGTAGAAATTTACGATGTAGTAAACGTGATCGTAACTTTACTACAATAGAATAGGCATAAGGATATGTACAACACTCCTTTCAATTAATCTCAGCGAACTTATGATAATTGCTATTACTATTACATTTCGACAGTACCAGAGATAAAAATTAATAAATAAAACTACTACCAATTATGACTTACATGGTCATTAGGTTATCAGTAAAAGTTGCCCATGGAATGTTACATATGTTAGTTAAATTATTTTTGGATACGTTTCTAATATAATTTATTAAAAAAAGAATGATCTATGGGTAAGTACAGTAATTTCAGTTCAAATTCCAATTATACGTTAAAAGCAATATTTCTTTGCAATAATTACATTGATTTCAAACTTGATAATGTAATTTTGCGGACATTTGTTAATGAATTTAGGCTGTTGCTTCTCAGATATCTATGTAGGCGAGGGTAAATTAGTACACACGAATATTGAAATATTTATTTAAGATTCTAACTTCTTATTGATAGCTGCCGTATCCTTTATGCTAAGATAAGTATAGCTGCAGATTTCAATTTCTAATTTTTACTCAATGCTGTACAAATGTAATTCTAATAAATTTAATCATATCCTAGTACATACAGATGCTGCAATCCCCTATCGTTTCTAAGAAACATAGATCCAAAATCAAAGCTTCGTAGATTATTTCCGGTTAAATTTCTTGTAAATTATTAAAATGAACATTAAGTGTAATAAATCTTCATACTATTTTAAATCGTAAA